TTGCCATGACAACACAATGCAGTTGTGAACTCTGACAGCTTTGTTCTTTATTCAAAAGTGATGTTCCATCAAGACCATTTCAGCAAATATTTCTCATTCTGCTCCTATCACTGTTCTCTCACTTGCCTTAACCAACTCATAATGGGATTGATAAGCTGTCAATAATAATTAGACACAATAGCAGAATAAGTCCCAGTAGTACCAATACAGATGAGCCTAGAGAATCCACAGTAGTGATCTCAAATGTGTGCTCATTTTTAAAGTGACTCATTTAACAGCTTCCCATTAGTTCTCTAATGTGCATAGTGTATTCAGGTAGAGCACAGAGCTTTCTAACAATAGAAGAGATTAAAACAGAGCTATCAAACTAATTCACCTTTTCCAAACTGTCACATGTAAATCCAAAAAGGCAGCATATTTGCTCATTAGGTGGAGGGCCTTCCCAGAATCTACAGTGAAGGGAGGGGACTCATGAAAAGTTAATAGAGGTTTTATCCCACCCTCCTTGGTAGATAGCAAGACACTGACACTCCTTGGTGGGAAGGCTCGCTCCCTGTTGGGTTTCCACGCAGGAGGTGGCCCTAAATCCTCACAGGTCATCTAGACCAGACTGTCAGCTCTTACAAGACACTTTCCAGAAAACCATCCTTCAGTAACAAGCAGTTCACTGTTCCATGAAGTGGCCCATTATATCTTCAGATAGTTCAGTTATTAGAAAATTCTTACTTGTGCTGAAGCTTCTCCACAATTTCCAAGTTTGTGCGAAGAATTCCAAATATGCCTGATTTGAATTTTATTTGAGGACAGATTACAGTTTAGCCAAAATTAGTGTTGGGGATAGATATATATAGAGAGAGATATCTATATAGATAGATTTTTTTTTAATTTGCTCATTTTCTGAACTACTCAGAACCTAAGGAAAATGTGACCAGCAAGAATTGCCCAGATCTGGGTCTACATGTAAGGTACATCTTCTAAAGGGGTTTATTTCCTCTCCCAATTAGGAGTAGTCTGAAGCCTATTTTAAATGTCTTTAATAATCTTTTAGGGACCCTCACAGTGGATCTTTTAATGCCATGGGTAATCTCTTGCAGTGGAATTCAAAGCACATTGCAGCTAGATGAACATTATAGTTTATCTGGGCCACTGTGCAGGCCATGTCAGCTCCCAGGACACATTTGGGAGCCAGCCTCTGTTTCCATGTGGGGCTCTCCCCCACAGAACATGTACAGAATCAGAACACTGTTCTTCTTGTGAGATGACCAGAGGAGCCACTGTGTGTTCATGTTATTAATCACTCAGGAGGGGCTGTGACCGAAGCCGAGAGTGAAGGGCGGGGCAGCGCCGGCTCCCTGCATCCCTTCGGGAACCAGGAGCTGTGCAGAGTCACGGCCTCCAGCTCTTCCCCTGGCCCTGGGAGCACTGTATAACGGTGCAGAGTGGGAGAGTTCCCTTTAGGAACATCTTACTACACAACAGACTCTGCATAGGCTAGTCGTTTCCCCACCCAGAATGGAAATAGCCAAGGTTTCCCTCGTCCCCCTCTTAAGGCAGCCCTCCTTCCTTCCTCTGCTCCCTCCTCATTCCTCTGCTTTCCACACTCGGCCTTCTCCCTACTTTCTAGGCTCAGGGACCTTTTTCTGGAGCCCCACTTTCTAATTCTTGTGCCACATCCCTGTGCCCTCTCCCCCTGCCTCCCAGGAGTGTCTACTGAGCCCTGCTGCAGCTGCGCAGCCCCAGAGCACCCAGGACTCTGGATCTCATGTGCTCTTTGGTGTCTGAATGAACCTCTGAACTTCTTTTTAAACTGAGATGTAATTCACATACTGTACAATGCACATATTGAATGTGTACAAGTCAATGGTTTTTAGTATATTCATTTTTTTTAATTGTAGTAAAATATATATAAAATTTGCCATTTTAACCATTTTTAAGTGTACAATTTGGTGACATTAATTATACTCATATTGTTGTGCAACTGTCACCATTGTCTATTTTCAAAACTCTTCCATCACCCCAACCAAAAACTCTATACCCATTAAGCAGTAGCTCCCCATTTTCCCCTCCGCTCCCTCTGTTTTCTGTCTGTATGAATTTGCCTATTTTAGGAATTTCTTGTGTGAAATCATATACTATTTGTCCCTTTATGTCTGGCTTATTTCACCTAACGTTTTCAAGGTTTATCCATATTATAGCATGTATCAAAACATGATTCATTTTGGGCCGGCCCGGTGGCGCACTGGATAAGTGCGCTGCTTGGGAAGCGCGGTGGCACTCCCGCCCGAGGGTTCGGATCCCACATACAGACCGGTTCCCGCTCACTGGCTGAGCGAGGCGCGGGAGCGACCCCGAAGGTTGCGATCCCGTTGCCGGTGACCGGTCCGGTGCGGGGGGCAACACTGAGGGTTGCGATCCGTTGCCGGACACGGAAAAAGACAAAAGACAAAAAAAAAAAAAAAACATGATTCATTTTTATGACTGGATAGTATTCCGTTATATGGATATACCACATTTTGTCTATCCATTCATCTCTTGGTGGACACCTAAGTTGTTTCTACCTTTTGGCTAATGTAATGCTGCAGCGAACATTGGCATACAAATACATGTTTGAGTCCCTGCTTTCTGTCCTTTTGAGTACAAACCTAGGAATGGAATTGCCAGGTCATATGGTAACTATGCTTAGCTTTTTGAGGAATAAGTATATGGGCTTTTTAAATTTAAACTGTTACAAGTGATAAGTATAGGTCTTTATTAATTAAAATTTATCTATTTTATCTAAGTTAATGTGAAGAGTCATAAATATATGCAGCCAATTCATCCTTCACTTTCTTTAGAGTTCTTAACAGTCATCATCTGTAGGATGCATTTGACAGTTAATCACAGGAGACTTTGTGACATCCATTATTCTCTTTAACTCCTTATTTTAAAGATTTTATTGTTTAACTTGTCATGTTTTTACATAGTCCGCCACTGAGATTTTAATTTCCTTGAGGACAGAGACATATATTTCTTTATACAGGTATTCCCTGTAGCACCTAGCATAGATCTCCAAGATATCTAACTAACTGATAAGTTGTAATTTTCTTTTATCAGTCTTCTGGTTTATTCATAGCAAGCAAAGAATAAACTTTTCCAGATAGAATTCTCTTTGTGTAGATAAATTTTTTGCAAAGCTGTTTTCACATGCTATAAGGTAACACAACTAATGATAATAATAATAGCAGCTAACTTTTATAGAATACTTATGTGCTGTGCACTATTCAGGGCACTTGTATTTTCTCACTTAGTTCTCAAAACAAGCCTATGGCAGGCTGGCCTGTGGCTCACTCTGGAGAGTGCAGTGCTGACAACACCAAGGCCACGGGTTTGGATCCTATATAGGAACGGCCAGTTCGCTCCCTGGCTGAGCGGGGTGCTGACAACATCGAGCCAAGGGTTAAGATCCCCTTACCGGTCATCTTTAAAAAAAAAAAAAAAAACAAGCCTATGACATAGGTAGTGTTATTGCCCACAGTTTACCAATGAGGCAACCGCATCACTGAGAGGTTGAACAGCTGCCTAGGTCCAAGCACATACTGACGTTAGGCATCTGGTTGCGGGGCCCGTGTTCTTACCACACACACAGTTAGGGACCCTTCTACCCTGAACTGGAGAGGACACAGTGTACAGCCACTGGAAGAATCATCCAGTCCTGGGGTCAGTCGTGCTGGGCAACAGGGAGCAGGGGCCAAGGCCTCCTGCGGGCCTGGCCCTCACCAGCCCCTTCAGCCTCTTGTAGGTTAGCAGCCCTGCTCTGTCCTTCCATTTACCTTCTTCCTGGCTGCTGGGGGCCTAAGGGTAGCAGAGATCCGTCTTGGAAAGAGCCTGTCCTAGCCTGGCTGTGTGACCTTGGGCCAGACACCCCAGGGGGTGTTGTGACTCCATCAGACTCTATAAATACCAGCTTCTCTTACCAAATTAGTTGGAAACTGACCAGCTTGCTTAGACAATTGTTATTTCTTAAAAATGGACAATCAATATGCAGAAATAGATGAACATCCATTTTTAAAACCTTATACAATAAGCAATAAATTCCATATCCATCATCCCACCAGCATCTCCCTGAGCTTGGAGGCAGACAGAATTTTCTCCCAAAGTAACCACACTAACATAAATACCTCTAAAAAAAATGCGCCAGCCAAGAGCCATCCAAAGCCAGTTCCTCCCCATCAACACATTAGGTTCCAGATAGAAGATAAAGACCAGGGATTCAGAGGGGTTCCTCGTAGCATCAGCATGGCAGGAAAGCTGCAGGAGGGCGTAGCTCCCCTAAGAAGGGGACTCCCAGAGATCCTGGCTGACCTGCACACAAAGCCATTCCAGAACACCCTTAGAGCACAAAGAGGGCAGAAGGTGTCAGACCCAGCTCCGACCTCTTTCTCAGCGTGTCTGAACCATGCCCTGTGGGGTCAGCCTCCTCAGAGCCTGGCTCTTCTCCCATCCCTCTGCTGCATCCTGGTTCTTTGGATGTCCCATTCCCTGCTGCTTTAGCTTGCCTGGGTCTCACAAGCTTATGACATTTCCCTCCCAGCGGTGTTCTCCCAAACCAGATCCTCAGGTTGCCTGGTTCTTGCTGGTTCTCTCCACTTGCTCAGATGTCCCATTCTGGAGGCCCAGAGGGGGTTGCCACATACCTCTGGGCTACCTGTGTGTCCTCGCAGCTCTGCTGAGCTCTGCCACATGGGGGGAGAGCCCAGGCCCACCCAGAAGCTTCTCACTCACCAATTTCCAGAAGCTCCTGTGGGCCCAGAGCCAGCCCCTGCTCCTGGTTAGACAGGTGACATTTGTATGCCCAGCCTCCCCAGAAGGGTTAAAGCAGAGCAGAAGTCCTAGGGCTCCCCTCTGCCCTTCTGCTTTCCTCCCATGCCACAGGGCATAGCCAGGGCCTTTTCACACAGCAGGTTCTCCTGAAATACTGGTTTGGTGTCTCACCTCATAGCCTTCTCCCTTTACCTTTTCAGCACTGTCTCCAAGCAAAGAAAAAACGTCATCAGCTGTGTCACTGTCCACGACTCTCCCTACTCTGACTCCTCCAGCAACACCAGCCCCTACTCTGTGCAGCAGCGCACCGGGCACAGCACCACCAACACCTTTGACACCAAGGGAGGCCTGGAGAGCCACTGCACGGGGAACCCCAGAACGATCATTGTGCCACCCCTGAAAACCCAGGCCAGCGAAGTGTTGGTGGAATGTGATAGCCTGGTGCCAGGTAATCTGGGGCCAGGGCAGGCCCGGAACATCTCTCTGGAAACTGGTTTTCTTGTTTTCTGCTGCTAGAAATGTTGCTGTGTGCTAGTAAAACAGAAAGTGCCCAATTATTGCAGCTGATCCTTACTGAGGATTTTGTTCAAGTAGCCAAGGTAGGAATCTGCTTCACATCACACTGTATAAGCAGCATTTTCCTTTCTTAATTCTATAATCAATCCCTCACTCCTTTTACGATGGCTCTGATTCCAACTAGGTTGATAAATATAAAATCAAAGCTGCCCAGTTCCTTATCCACTGGTCTGGACTGATACCTGGCTGGGGAGTTCCTGGCTGGCATCTAGCATCTCTCCCAGGAAGCCCTGGTGGTATGTGGGCTTTCTGCTTAGGAAGAACCTTCTGAAGTCTTGCTAGGAAAGGGTGAAACAGGCTCCTCTCAGTCCCTCCTTGAAAGTCACTGTTGGGGGCCAGCCCGGTGACGCACTGGAGAGTGCACCGCTTGGGAGCGCGGCAGCGCTCCCGCCGAGGGTTCGGATCCCATGTGGAGACCGGTTCCCACTCACTGGCTGAGCGCAGTGCGGGCGCAACACCAAGGGTTGCGATCTCGTTGCCGGTCCCCAGTACGGGCGTGACACCGAGGGTTGCGATCCCATTACCGGTCAGTTAAAAAAAAAAAAAAAGACAAAAAAAAAGGGTGCGGGCGCAACACCAAGGGTTGCGATCTCGTTGCCGGTCCCCGGTACGGGCGCGACACAGAGGGTTGTGATCCCATTACCAGTCAGTAAAAAAAAAAAAAAAAGACAAAAAAAAAAGGGAAAGTCACTGTTGGGAGAAGAGATCAGAACTGCGTATGTTCCCTTCCTCACATGCTGCCTTATTAAAAGGATGCCTGCTGGCCCGTGAAGGCTGTCCTGAAAAATTGGGCCCTAGCATAAAGGCTGGAAACTTAACCTTCTAAATAAACTTAGTGGCTCGCCCCACATACAGTAGCATCTATTCAGTGTTGCCCTTGCTCAGGGGACTAAACCAGAAGAAATCTGCATGTGCTGCTTTTCTGCCATGGACCATCACCAGCCACACCCAAGCGAGCCAGTACCTTCAGGATGGCACCATTTAGAAGCAGAGGGATACAAACTGCCGAGAAGATTTTGTTTAGATGTGAGACGCTGTTATTCCTCAGGAGGGCCCTCCTGTCTGTGGCACCTGAGGTTGCTACAGGGGATCAGGGAGTCTTCCTGGGTGGTCACCCCATGTAAGGCCCTGTGGGTGTAGGCCCTCCAGGTGCTGCACTGAGGGTGAGGAGGGGGACTCAGGATGGGGTCTTTAGGGACTTTCCTACCCAGCGACATAGCCCACACGGTGGGGGTCAGCGTCCCAGGACATGCTCCCTAAAGTTGACGACAGAGCCTGTGACAGACTGTTTTGCACCAAGAGGCTCTGCCTGCAGGGGAAGTGGAAACAGCTGTAGACTTTGTACCCCACCGTGTCCACTGCCTCACCCAAGGTGGCGTGGTAGCCCAGGTGGGGTCACGCTTTCAGACATCCATGTCAGAGCTCTTTTTCCCTGACTTTGTAGTTACCCAGCCACCTTTCCTCCGAAGAAGTATTCATTAAACACAGCCATCCCCGTAGCCTGCTGAAGTTTCTCCATTATCATATCCTGGTTGGTCCCCAACCACACTGTCGAGACAGCACAGGCTCCAAGAGGCTGTGGCTTCAGAGTCAGCACTGCTGTGGGCCATGGTGCAAAGGGGGTGGGGTCGTGGTTCCCACAGAATCCTGCTTGAGCAGTAAGTGTAGGGCTGCTGAGCTGCTGCATAAGGGGGACATGCGAGCAGATTAATCCCACACAGCACAGTCTCTCCAGCGGCCAGAGGATCCTGGATGAAGGAGGCCTTGCTCTGGGGGAAAAGGGACCCCTGCAGTGGTGCCCGATGCCAGGCATTGTGTTCTGGTTGACAGGGGCCAGACTGTGCTTAATGCTAGTTTCTGGTGACCCAGATCCAGAGAACCAGGCTGAAGCCCCTGTGAGGCAACCTTGTGAGGGAAAGAAAATGAGGCTGACCCTTCCACAAGGCCACAAGGACGTCTCTCTCCAAAAACCCTCTTTCTCTCCCCAGGCAAATATTTTGGTGGAAACGCTGACAGGAAGCAACATTCTCTCGCAGTAACCACAGGGACCTGCGAGGCAAAGTAGTTCATTCCAGGACACAAGGCTCCTTAGAGAATGACCTGCACAGTTTTCTGCTCAGAAATCCCTTAAATAATTGTTTAAAACTATACCCAGCACACATTAAGTGTAAATATTTTCCAAGGATATAATTTCGTGATGTGTATTGGACACAAGGCTCCTTAGAGAATGACCTGCACAGTTTTCTGCTCAGAAATCCCTTAAATAATTTAAAACTATATCCAGCACACATTAAGTGTAAATATTTTCCAAGGATATAATTTCATGATGTGTATTATATCATATTCAAACTCTTTAAATATATGCTTATGGAAACCTTAACTCTGCAGATTGAGCTCATGCAGTGTGTGGGGAGTGCCACCTGTGCCCCAGTGAGCAGCAAGGCCACTCCTCATTGTCTGGTGCCTGCCCTTGCCCAGCTGGTAGCATTGCTCAGTACTAATATATGCCTTTAGCTGCAAAACCATCCTAGACTTGGAAAAACCAGGAAAGTAGCCTTCCTCAGCTTCCTGGTGCCCAGGTGACCTGTACAGGCCAAGGGAACCAGTCTCAGCCACCCAGATGGAGCTCGCAGGGTGTCACAGATTTCAGGGGTTCCCTGAGCCACTCAGGTCAGGATGAGTGTTGTCTGTGTGACAGTCCATGTTCTCACAGTGCTGTCGCCCTTCTGTGGCTCTCAGCTCAGCTGAGGATTTCTCACAGAGCCTTCCCAGGTCCCTTGGTTAGTTATAGTCCTTTAGTAAGGATGCAGGGCTGAGAGAAAGTTCAACAACTAAGTCTCAGGGAGGGCAGGAGGCAGAACTCCCAGGACCTGAGCCACTAGAGACCAAACACCCACTCTCTGGAGCTGCCTTCACGCTGACTCAGAGCCAGACACTCCCAGGCTTCCAATTCCCCATTTCCAGGAGACTGGAATTGATTGTCCCAGCTTTGTGCAGACACCTGTTCCTTGAGCATCAGATTTAGGTGGGGGACAGGGTTCAATAATAATAACACCAACAACACTTATTAAGTACTTAAGTGCTAGAAACTTAGTATTTAGGTATTAAGTGCCAGACACTAAGCATTCAACATATGTTAACTCATTTAGTCCTCATGACCACCCTACATGTAGCTACCATTAGTACCCTAGTTTTACAGGTAAAAAAATGGAGGCACAGAAGGTTAACCAGCTCACCCAAGGCCATGTGGCTGGGCCTCCCAGGGGTCTGGCCACAGAGCTTGTCTGTGCTATAAGCAGTCCCACCCACCTAGTGCACACAGAGCCACTGGGAGCCACCCCATGAACCAAGGGCTGTTCCCAGGGCAGGGGGATTTCTGAATGTAGCTGGGCAAGGCATGACCAGAAAATTCTATACTGTTCCCTTGCAACCCCAAAATATACATTAGGAGATTGACCTTAGCCCATTGCCTGTTTGTTCATCTCTACAGGAGGCATCACTACTTTAGTCTCCGGGTCCCCTTCAGGACCACCTGCCTTACACAGGGTTCTGCTCTGGCCCAGCCTGCATCTCCTGTCCCTGCCAGGACAGTAACAGGCAGAATGCTGGGCTCTGTCACCCATTCATCTGTAACTCTCTAACCTCTTCACTTTGCAGACCCAAACTATAGATCCCTCAAGCTTAGTGTTGTTTCTCCCTCAAATATAATTACCACAAAATGCCCAGAAAGTTGAAATAGGAGCAGAGAGACGACATCTGCAGCCGGGGCCCAGACAGCAAGCACAGCGCAGGACCTGCTGCCAAACGGGAAGGCGTTTGGCTGCAGCACAGTAGCACTGTGGCTGAGTGAGGGAGAGGAGGCATCTGTACTGATAGCCAGCATTTGCAGTTTTCTATTTTTTACACCACATTGGGTCCACAAAAGCCCCCCAGCCCCCAGGTTTTGGGGGGTCTTCAAATGCCTAACTGGGTTTGATGTGAGCACAGCCTTGGGTCTCAGGGCCCTGATTCCCAAATGCAGATCTGCTCCACCAGGGCCAGGCGGGCTCTGGACTTTCCTGGAAGCTTGTTAAGAACACTGCTACCTGGACACCTGCCCAAGGGATTCTGACTCAGTGGGCGGGACCCCAGTGCCACTGTACAGTCGGATTTGGGGGCCCCTGATTAGGACCCGCTGCCTCCCTCCCCAGGGACGCAGCTCTCCCTTTACTGAGGGGGAGAGGGGGCTGTTGGTTTCAGGGGCAGGGAGGCTACCTTCGGTGCGTGCCACGATCTACTGTCCCCGGGTTTCCAGTTTCCCTTTGTCCTTATGAGCCTGGGACCTTTGGAGGCACTTTTCTCTCTTCTCAACATTAATCAGCATCTCTCTTGCCTGGCCCAGCCTCAGGCATCTCCTCTTTGATTTCATCACCTTGGGATTTGAAATAGAATTGATCCAACCCAATTCAGTCAAGAGCCTTGTCTTGATTGCATGGTTCGTTAATATTTAGCACCTTCTACCCCAAGAATGACCAGATTCACCAGTTGTATACTAACTACCACAGATGTCTAGTCGAGATGCTATTAGGCTTTTGTGTTTGCCTAAAATGCTCAGACCCCAATATAACTGTTCTGATTTCTTGCTGCTGAACATGAGATGGAGACCTTTCTTTGGACATCCTGCAATATGTCCTTGCGGCTTCTCCCCTAATGTTAGACACTTTACATGATTCTTGAGCACCCCCACTTGGGCAACTTCCTCAAATGTGGACAGTTGTGGAGTTGGGGAGTCTGTGGGATGACAGGGCTGAGTTCAGTGGATGAGTGGATTCCCTGTGTCAAAAGCCGTTTTCACGTTGACTGGCAGTTATTTCATCGTGGTTGGCATTCATCTGTGTTAGAGAGAGAGCCTTTGGAGAGAGCTGCTTGGTTCTAGAGAGATGCCGGGGGGCAGGCAAGCAGCAGCACTCTCCATTTTGCCACGTCCTGTGTGTGCACGTGGTGGTCCCAGCTGCCTTGCCATGGAGTCCCACTCTGCTGGGGGTTGGTATTCACTGAGCACTCAACACCAAGTTGACAAAAACGAGCTCATTCATATAAATCTCTTTACCCTGTTAATTTTATCCCAGTTCTTTTTTTTTTTTCCTCCGGGATATGTGGTCCTGTCTTTTGAGACTCAGTTACCTGTTCCCTGGTGTATCTGTCAGTGTGTGTCTCTGTATCTCAGATGATAGCCCCCAACTGCAATCCTGAATGGGACACAGAAGAGCTGCGAAGAACTCTCCTGTCTTCTCCTAGACCCTCCTTATACTTTTTGATGTCAGATAGTAATTCTAAAGTCCATCAAGAGTAAAAATGTAGATCACAGAAATACCCCTGTCCTCCCTAGAAAGTCAAGGTAATAAAAGTATTTTAGTCACATTCCAGAAACTTAATGAAGAAAAACAAATCACCGAATACAAGACACAAGCAAAGTACTCAGATGAACAAAGGACGATGACAATAAGGTCACTCATTACCTTTCTCCCTTAACACTCGTGCTCTCTTCCCTCGAGCAAAGCCTTCCTCAGTCTTTCTCAGACCAAGGGCAGCCTTGCCTTTGTTTGCCCACGTCTCAGCCAGCAGCAGAAGCCACACAGCCCCGCTGGCCCCGTGCTGCGGTTCATTTCCAGTCTGGCCTGCCCTTGGAGAGGACTATCTGCCAGGCTTCCCACCTGGAAGACTTCTCAATTAACTCTTCCCTGTTCTTTAGGTTTCGAGCAGTAGGAGCAGTACTTGTTATAACTGTGGTTTCTGACCCATCCGTCAAAAACAACACAGCTGCAGGCTGCTTGACGTAGCTTTCTCTTACTAACTCCACTTTTTCTGCTCTTGTTGACATTTGAGCGAGAGAGCCCAGAGAAGGTGTCTGGAACCTTCTCCCTCCCATGCCTTCCTAAGCTAATATGCAGGCTTGCCCCTGAAGAAACCCAGTATGTTATCAATAGTGTGTGTCTGCTCATTGCTTTTGCTGCTACTGTTTCTGTGTTTTGTGCTTAATGAGGGGGATGTGGCCAGTGCTTCTCGGTTCACTGATCTGAAATTTCACTCAGATATTCATTGATACCGTTGGTGTGTTAGGCAGGCCCCTCCTGTAGGAGAGTTCAGGTATAGGGACCTTGGGGGTCTGTAAAACATCTCTTCTGTTTTAATGGGGGTAGAGGGTGATGGTCCTACCTGCAGGGCTCTGACTGGGTCTCTGGCTAAAAGCCCACCTGAGCACCAGCCAGCGCTGTCCAGCAGGGTTCCCCCAGACTACCTCTGCCTAGCAGAAAACTCCCTGCACATTGTTGTGCTCTTGACTCGGCCCAGCTACACAATTAGGACCTGTCCTGCTCCAGCAGCCTCCCTGGACTCGGTCAGTTGGTGGCCGTCAGCTACTTCACTCCCTCATCTGCATGGTCTGTGACCCCTCCTCCTTATTTCATGCTCTCAGCCTTCCCTGTGCCATCCCCATGCAGAGCCTGGCACACAGCAGGAGCTCAAAAGCATTTGTTGGATGAGTTCAAACAGCTGGGCTCTGGAGAGGCTGCTTTGGCTCCCTCTGGCTGGCCACAATGGGAGCCATCCTACTTGGGGTACAAACTGCCTCTCTTCTAGAGCCCCTGGCTGCTCAGAGTGTTGTTCACTGGCCACAGCGTGAGATCCCCCGGAGCTTGGAGGAAATACAGACTCTCGGGGCCACCGAGCCAGAGTCTGCATTTAACAAGACATGGAGCCAGCTGCCAGCCATGCAGGTGCCTCAGGAGAATCACCCTGTTTTCCACTCTTCGGCCTGTCTGTCAGTCACATGGGGACAGTCACTGTGCTTGGCCATGTTCATCTCTCAGGGCTGTTCCCTGGATGAATTCATCTTGTCCTGCATGGGGTCAGGGGACTAGGCCAGGTGACTCCTGAGGGTTATTTTAGCCTCTGTTGTTCCTCCTGGCTGTTTGTCAGGTCCCATCATAAGCACGGACTCATTTGATCCTCACATCCACCTAGGAGGGGACCAAGCAGGGATCCCACCCACCCATTTCCCAGGTGCCACAAGTAACGCCTCTGCAGGCGCAGCCTCAGGCCATCGGCTCACCTCACCTCTCCTGATCCTTTTCTGTTTTCCTTGGCTTCCTCCCCATCATTTTGTGGCCCCAGCCACCCTCCCAACCAAGGGAACAAGCCAGAGCGCAGTTGCCAATCCAGAGTCAAGACCAAACCCTAACTGGGTCTGGGGGAGATGAGGCTGATAGTGACTGGCCAGCCTCAGCGTTCCTTCCTGCAGGACCACTGTTCTCTAGGGGAATAGCATCTTCTGGTGGCTGAGGACCTGCCTCTGACCTGTGACCTGTTCCTCTTCCCACAGTCAACACCAGTCATCACTCGTCCTCCTACAAGTCTAAGTCCTCCAGCAATGTGACCTCCACCAGCGGTCACTCTTCAGGGAGCTCGTCTGGAGCCATCGCCTACCGGCAGCAGCGGCCAGGCCCCCACTTCCAGCAGCAGCAGCCACTCAATCTCAGCCAGGTAAGCCCCACCCAGGCAAGGCCCCACAGCCCCTCATCCTTCAGCTTCTGAGAGCTATAGTCCCACCAGCTGGTGACCTCTGGTGGCTTCTTTCCAACATGAGTCCTCTTTGGGGAAGTAGGTATCACTGGTTCACAGAGAGCCAGCCCAAAGCAAAGTGACTTGTCTAATGTTACAAAGCACTTAGTGACATGGTGCCAGAGCTTAACAACAGGATGGCCCACATAACTGCTCTTTCAGCGCAGTAACAGGTAAAACACTGCATCCTGGCACACCAGGGAGAGACCTGCAGTCTGACTCATTGCAGTGAGGGATACCACACACCAGAGACCCCAAACCAAGGAAAAGAGCTGCACTAGGATTTGGATGAAGGAGGGTAGAGTGGAGGTGAAGGGTAAGGGAAGCAGAGTTTCAGTGGGCTCATGGCAGGGCTGTATGCAGCAGGGTCAGCATCAGGCCCGAGTTGTAAAGTGGACTTGGGGTCCTGGTTCTTCAGAAACTGCAGAGGGGCGATCAGTGGGGACTTGGTGTTCAGAACCCCTCCTCTGGAGAAGGACATCTGTGTGTCATGGTGACTTGGGTTCTCCAGGTAAGAGAGGGCTGTTTCATTTGAACTGATGGAATTTCAAACAGCAGCATTTCTGCAAATCTATAGTTTTAGAGGATGAGAGTTTGCGGTGAGCAAGAAGGCAGCCACCACTCAAAGAGGGAGTCCTCCCAACACTTCCCAGCTGCAGGATGTCCTCAGGAAAAATATTGTCTCCTGTTAACTTTGCAGCTGGCTGTGTCCGGGTATCACCCCAGCCTGGTGAAGGGCAGGCCAGGTGGTTACTTTCTCAGCATTCAGAAGGAAGCATCTTCTGTCCCTTCTGCTGTTTCTTCCCCTCCCCCCCAACCCCACATGCATGGCCCCTAACACGGCCCCTCTCTGGTGCTCCTCCCCCTCAGGCTCAGCAGCACATCACCGCGGAGCGCACCGGGAGCCACCGACGGCAGCAGGCCTACATCACTCCCACGATGGCCCAGGCTCCGTACTCCTTCCCGCACAACAGCCCCAGCCACGGCACTGTCCACCCCCACCTGGCCGCGGCTGCCCACCTCCCCACCCAGCCCCACCTCTACACCTACACGGCACCAGCGGCTCTGGGCTCCACCGGTACTGTGGCCCACCTGGTGGCCTCCCAGGGCTCGGCGCGCCACACTGTGCAGCACACTGCCTACCCGGCCAGCATCGTCCACCAGGTCCCCGTGAGCATGGGCCCCCGCGTCCTGCCCTCACCCACCATCCACCCGAGTCAGTACCCAGCCCAGTTCGCCCACCAGACCTACATCAGCGCCTCACCAGCCTCCACCGTCTACACTGGATACCCACTGAGCCCTGCCAAGGTCAACCAGTACCCTTACATATAAACACTGGAGGGGGGCGGCAGAGGGAGGACGGGGGGAGGGAAGGAGCTCCTGGGACCGAGGTGGGAGCTGGCTTTTTATACTGAAGATGCCGCACACAAACAATGCAAACGGGGCAGGGGAGGGGGCAGGGAACGGGACGGGACACAGGAAACTTGAACTAGCAAGTGGGAGGGGACTTAGAGCAGAGAAGAGAACATTTTAAAAAGGAAGGAATTAAGGAGGGGGGAAATCTATGCTTTTTATTTTAAAAATGAAAAAGGCAAAAAAAAAGAAAACGTCAGTAACAACACAGCTCACGAACCCATTCTGTACCAAACTGGAAAGGAGAAGAAGAGAGCAACAGGAAGATTCTGGAAGTGGGGGGCCCCAGTTTTTGAAGAACTTTATCTATGAACTTTTCAAAGATTATTTTCGTATGGCAGCAAGTGACATTGAAGAATTTGCTGTCAGAGACACCTGATATGGAAATCCAATAGATTTTTAATTAATTGAACATAAGAATTAGGGATTTTTCCAGAACTCTAAAGGGTCAGCACCCCTCCAGAATGTCAGGCTGTGGCCTGAGGAAGCTGATATACACGGGTTGGTCTGGGGTTGACAAAACCCAGTTGTGGCTCATTTGTCAGGAATGTTGGGGAACGGCCAGGCCAAGGGAAGACCCCCTGGGGAAGGGGCAGATTTTCTCTTTCTGAGCACTCTGGATAAATCCCTAAGCAGTGTTATTCCTCAAATATCATTAACAATGTGTGTTGCAAACTTTAGTTTTTTTCTTTTCTGAAGATTGACTTTCTCTGAACCAACCCCTAGTCACATAGGGCAGGGTGCGGTCATCACGGACACCCTAGTAGAATGTAGCACTCTGCACTCTGCTTTCTACCTTGTGTTCAACTCCAGTGATGCCAATAGACTGTTCCTCAGTGTAATTGCACAAAAAAAAAAAGTGGTATACCATAGGCATGTAACCGATGTGGCGGTCCAGGCATGCGAGCGCGTGTGCAAGGGGCGTGCGTGGGGGAGCCGCCCTCCCGCGTGTCCCTGGCCACGGCTGCCCTCGCAGTCCTGATTTTACATCGTTCCCTCCTAGTGCCTTACCGAACGACAGACGCAGTGTAAGGGTTTACTTCCACTGGTACTCCAAGAAACTGACCGAGGCTAGTCAGATCACATCTCAGCTCTTCTGCTGTGACATTTGACTCTGGTCATTCCTTTGTTTTTGTTTTTGTTTTCTCTTAGTTCTGCTGCCCGTTGTCAGTCTTGGGCTGTTGGCTGGCAGAAGGCTGGCAGGGGCTGGGAGGAGAGCATCCACACATCTGGAGAGAGATGTGGGAGATGGATGATGGGTGGGCGCTGCTGGTGACAGGGATGGCGTTAGCTGAGTTTTGTTTTGGGGGGCAGAGACCCAGAGAGCTGCCCTTCACCCTCACTTCACTCTGCCCATCAGGCCAGCTCTGCCATTTGTGGGACCAGAGGTGTTAGGAATGTTGGCCTTGCCAGGCAGCCACCTCCAGGCCCACTGTGACCTTCCTGTGGCGCCGTCTGCAGGAAGGAGAGCAGGCCAGTCCCCATCTCGGGCTGCGTCCCCCCATCCCTTCCACCCATGAGAAGCCTGGTGTTCCCAGACTCATCCCCCCCACCCCGACCCCTCCACTCTATCCTCCGGCTCCCTGGGCTGTGTTTGCTCTCATGATTTTTCCAGATCCCTCCCTCTATAGACAACCACCAACCTCTGTCTGCCATTGATTCTTTCCTCACATTACCTAGGTCTGCCCAAGACATGATTTGGGTTTGGGACTTTGAGGGGTCAGGTGGGCAGAGGTTGGAGCAATGCTTGTGAGGGTGGCCAGGGGGTCTTAACACTGCACTTTGGAAAACACTCCCACGGACAGTTAAGTCTCCAAAGAAATCCGCCCTTTGCCCTCTCTGCACCCATGATAAATTCTGGAAGTTTTCTCAGGCTTTGAACACTGCTGGTGGCTGTCTCTCTGTTCATAATAACTAACTCTGAAATGCATGGGGAGACTCCGGTCAAGGATGAGGCTTAAAAGGGAGGTTCTAAGCGCTCGATTCTGATGCTGAGTCCTTAACTGACCCCACAGCCAAGTCTCCAAGGTGCAAAGAGGTCTTTCCAGGTCCAGCAGTCCCATCCTCATCCTCCCTCCCTTCCTTCCTCACTCTGTGGTCTCCCCGAGCGATCTACTGTGAAAGGTGTTTTTGTGGTGGTATCCAACCTAATTCAGTAACAAAGCTGTTACTTAGCTCATAGCTGTGAAATAACTCTGGAAACTTCCCCACCCCCACCATAAATTCATACTTATAAAGAAATAGGTCCTCAAACTGGAAAATAGGTCCCTAGACTCAGACCACACCACCAAGCGGGTGCTAGCAGGGAGGTGCTCTCGTCTCGGGGCCATGAGCAATACTGTCCTTATCCAGAGGTGGAGAAGTGCCATCATTCTGAGACAATGGTCAGTTCAGAGAGGGGAAGGGGACAGAGCCTTCAGAGGACTCACAAGCCAGAGCCGCGCCAGCCTGGAAAATCATCTGTGAGGGACTTTCTGGCAGCCAGATGGCAGCAGTGTCCCATCCAATCTCCTCCTACCGTGCTACAGGGTGTCTAGTCTTGGCTGCAAATGAGCCTCTGTTTGCCTTATTGGGTAGCACCCTGGACTCCCCAGCACAGTTCAGTTCCAGCCCTTTCTAGATCTGGTCTTTTCAGGGAAAAGACAACTTAAAATGTTCTTTCCATTTCAAAGAAATTTCTTTTGTCTGCATAAGTTGGAAGCTTCTTACTCTGTCACCTGACATTTTCTTTCCTTTTCTTCTCCCAGATCAGGAATAAAAGTTCCATGCTGCTCATAAAGATAATATTACTGTACTAATTATTTTTGTTATTACCATTGTAATTATGATCATTATCATCATGTTGATATTTTAGTCAGGGTTTTAAATGCACATTTATTCTAAGTATCTTTGTGTTTTCTCTTTAATATTTAAACTTATTTTATTATATCTGTGAGTATATAAGTAGACAGGACGGACATACAGATGTCCAGTTTTGTCAGACAAAAAATGAAAGAGCCAGGAATTAGGAAAATTGTTTCTGTCATCTCTATTACGCAGAGAACCGTCAAGAAAGATCTACCACAGAACAACAGATTGCATAAGAATCAAGGTCTCTTTTTCTGTACAGCCCAGAGTGCTCTTGACAACAAGGTCACCATCAATACTGTATTTTTCTCAATTCCCAGTGGCCTGGGACGTCATCTGAGGGGGCATCTCGTGGACTCAGGAATGCTGAGTCCGTGACTGTTGACCGGAGGGAGACAGCTTCTCCCCCCTCTTCTCTGTGCTCTCTTGTGTGCTTCTGAAATCTGCTAACCAGATCCTTGGCCTGCCTCACATCTGTTATTTAAGCGAAAAATTCTCTCTGCCCAGAGCTAACCCAGCCCCTTTTCCAAACGTCCCCCCTTTTCCCGTCAGCACACCCAGAGTGTAGCTTATACCCTTCAATGAAGAGACGGTTGTCCCCTCCTGACAGCCACTGGGTATATTAAGCTGATGGAAGAGATGGGCAGGTGGTGCCTCCCTGCTACTTCCACTCAGTAGCCCACCACCCGCCTCTCCCTCTGCCCCTCCACCTCTGACACATCGCCCTGGCACACAGTTCTAGCAAGCCCAGGAAGGGTGGAGGCTGAGTAGGAGGCCAGAGGAGCCCTGAGCAAAGTCCAGCAGCCACTCAGGCACTTTCCCTCGGAAATTGTCAGCCCAGCATTCCCGACCACGCCCCTTTGAACTGCACTGTGTGTGATGGGTGCCCCCACGCTGCCCACAAAACCCAGACACTACCATGCACGAGATGAAGAAAGGGTTGAAGTGGCCGGCTTCACCAAAGGGAAGTGAGACATCAGGCAGTGCCCAGCCCCATGGACGCCCAGCAAACGTTAGTGCACGCCCTTCTCGTCCTCACCTGATGCCTCGTCTAGTCCCAAGCATGGAGCTGCCACATCACAGGCCCCATGAGACGATCCCAGCAGGAAGGGCCAGCTCTGTGGGTGCTCATTAGCACACTTCCCAAATCTCCCATCAGGTCCTCCAGCACCGAGTCGCCCTACGTCTAGTCCCAAGCATGGAGCTGCCACATCACAGGCCCCGTGAGACAATCCCAGCAGGAAGGGCCAGCTCTGGGTGCTCATTAGCACACTTCCCAAATCTCCCATCAGGTCCTCCAGCACCGAGTCGCCCTAGCAAATAGGATGCTGTCCCTTGGATCAAGCTCTCAAGCAGAGGGATGACAACCTAGTCCTTGTTTAGACCACAGATAATCTAGAAACATCATCCAGAGTGAGAGGGGAAGATTGAAAAAGACAGGTCAAGAGAGACGTCTGTCGGGAGCCTGAAGAGCCACAGGTCGACTTGCCTCTGCTCGCCAGGCTCTGGCTGGCCTATTGGGGCATTGGCACCCCTGTCTCCGTGCTTAGTGCCTCTTCATGATGTTGCAATGTTTCCAAGGGAGGGGGTGAGCAAGCCAGTGGGTGGGAGAGTCCAAGACTTGATGCCAATTACCACTGTGAAGTGGAGCGTGTGGTCAAAGTAATTCAGAAGAAAAGGAAGGTCGGGAGCAAACCCACGTTTGTCTCCTGGACTGTACTTGCGTTTCTAGCCTTACCAGCGGCTGAGTTGTTTGCAGGCTGCGGAAGCCAGCCGGCCTTCGCCCCCTTCACCCTGAAGGACTCCACCTGCCCAGGTGTGGGACGTGGGGAGGGGCAGGGGAGTTTAGCACAGCTGCTAGCAGGATGATTTCCCTTGGTTAGGTCTCGGGAACTGCAAACACTCACTTGTGAACCGCTTGTGGTGGAAGATTTGGGTTGTGCGAGTGGTATGAGCGGGTGGAGCAAACGCTCTTGGAAACCAGAGGGAGGAGGTGAGGAGGCTTAAGGAAGTATTGCTGGTGGTTCCTGGTGGAGAGAGCCACGTGGGTCCCACTTGCCCACCTTCATCCCAGTTCTGTCGGCTGCTCAGGGCAGGGGTGATGGGGGATCGTTGCTCTGGCTGGCCTGTCACATGGCTGCTAGGACAGAAAACGGAAAGAAGAAAATAGCTAGGTGCCCTCAACTAGCAGGGAGAATCCCACAGGGAGGCGTGGT